GGGCAGGTCGCAAGTGGGTCGCTGGGCTGGGCGCGGGGGGCCTCCCAAACCACCCGCACAGGAAGTCATGCCTCGTTGCGGCGACCCGCTGTGCATGCTGCCAGTTGCATCTTCCCTCACGATGACATGTAGTTTGTGTCCCGTGATTGCCACTGTGCTCCTGGCCGTCCTATTGCCCCTCCTACTCCACCTGGTCCTCGTCCTCATTACTAGTAGAAATGCTCTCATGATCGTCCGCATTCTCTTCCCTCCTCCCTCCTCCTCCTCCTCCTCACCGTATCATCCTCAACATCCTGCCGTTCCTTCCCTCCTTCGGCGTGGGCGTATCCTCATCATGCGTCGCGCCCGAGGTTGCAGCGAGGCAGCGGTAGTGACACGATCGGATGATTGAAGGAGTGCATATGCTGGTAAGGGAAAACACGAGTTATGCAGCTCCGTGCCGATACGCGCGGAGGTGGCAAGGTGGGTGGACATGTGAATGCCCTTGCCACCCAATGACCAGCGCCTTTTCTTGCCAATCGCGGGCACGGGCCTTATCCGCCAACCCTGCCGAGAAGAAGACATGTGAAGTGTCGTTCGGCCCTCCATCCGTCTCCCCCCGCCACCCATCCCATCGAAAAGCGTCATCCGTCCTGCCATGGACAACATTAACCCCAGGAAGCATTTAAGAACCCCCCCGGCGATATCTTAGCACCGCATTTTTATTCGATATTCCGAGGGGCCGAAATAACCGCACGATAGGTTTAGCACCCGGACACACAACAAATTCGCGGAGGCCTGGCCCCTGGGCTACAATCGAAATTCGAAATTCAAATCTGCGTGGCTCTCATGAAAGACTCAGGATGTCGCTTGCTGCTTGGAAAATTCATGCAATGATGATAGTATTAATATTCGCAAGTTCGTGGGTGGAGGAGAGGAGGAGGAGGAGGAGGAGGAGGATGAGGAGGAGGAGGAGGAGGGCTCCTGGTGCCAGGTAACGCTTCCAGGGTGCGGAAGGGTTATCGATTTGCCGGAAGGGGGGGGGGGGTCTTAAATGCTTCCTGGGGTTACACTGAACTGCTGGCAGGCCCCATCAATAAGAATCCGCCGGATGAGCTGGCCGCCACAGGATGGTGACGATACGAAGATCGCACCCCCATTTAGAACATGCGAGTAAACCGACCAATCACTCGGGTGAATCCAGACCGGTCAACACACGTAGCCGCGGCGAACAGATCCGACAACGCGGACGGGTCAACGACGGGTCAGAGCAAAACGTACGGCATCATGTTTAGCTAACTGCCGGGAGCCATCTGCCATCAAAAAGCTCAGAACACCAAGCGTCGAAAGCATGACACGCACTGACGAACAACATACAGACGTAGACGAGCACGCACCCTGGTAGACATGCAGAGCCCCCGTGCCCTCCAAAGACACACGGAGCCAACATTACAAAGGAAACGACTTGGGAGAGACAAGGGGGACAGAAAACGCGTGCGAAACATCGAAGCCAATGCCAACACGGTAGCATGTCTGGAAACATGATCAAACAACGGCATAAACACAAACTTTTGGAGGTCCGCGCGGATCTCTTGGATCCGCGCCAGAAATTTACGTGTGTGATTTTTGGTCCTCGAAACACGGTACCATGTCACTGGCGAAACTGGCAACGCCCAACCACACACGAGCGGCAGCTCGAACGCTGCTGACACCGGCACCTCGCACTTGCTCGCGCCCATGGGCGACGTACCCTTAGGTCAGGCATGCCCCCCTACAGGCGGATATAGGACGACTCATTACATGCACGAGAAAAACAAACCATGCTCTCTCTCTCTCTCTCTCTCTCTCTCTCTCTCTCTTTATATATACACATATCTATATACATCGGAGGTGAGGGGGTGAGATCGCAATTGAACGGAGAGCCCCCCTACCGGGAAATCGGTTTCGGTTTCGTGTTCGTGCGTGCCGTGCGTGCGGGCGAGGCGAAGCTGCGTGGGCGGGCGAGAAAGAAGTCTCCTCTGGCTGAGGCGCGGCCGGACCAAATGATTCCTCTCCGGGGGCCGGTGCCGCGCAACGTCCCGCCGGTGTCCCGCCTCCCGCAGAGGCGTGGCCGGACCAAATGATTCCTCTCCGGGGGCCGTTGGCGCGCGGTGTCCCGCCGGTGTCCCGCCTCCGGCTGAGGCGCGGCCGGACCAAATGATTCCTCTCCGGGGGCCGGAGGCGCGCGGTGTCCGGCCGATGTCCCGCCGGTGTCCCGTCGGTGTCCCGATGATGATGATGATGATGATGATGATGATGATGATGATGATGATGATGATGATGATGATGAAGATGATCATGATGCTGAAGATGATGATGATGATGTCGATGATGTTGATGATGATTATGATGATGCTGATGATGGTGATGGTGGTGATGATGATGGTGACCCGATGATGATTGTGATGTTGACGATGTTGATGATGATGATGATGGTGATGGTGGTGATGATGGTGGCCCGATGATGATGATGTTGATGATGCTGTTGCTGATGTTGATGATGGTGTCCCGATGATGATGATGTTGATGCTGATCCTGATGATGTTGATCCTGATGAGATGATAGTGAGATGATGATGATGATGAAGATGATGATGGTGATGATGATGAAGATGGTGTCCCGATGATGATGCTGATGATGATGAGGTTGATGATGATACTGTTGATGATGATGGTGATGATGATGGTGTCCCGATGAAGATGATGATGTTGATAATGATGACGATGACGATGATGGTGTCCTGATGATGATGATGATGATGTTGATAATGAGGATGATGGTGAGGTGATGATGATGATGGTGGCCCGATGATGGTGATGATGCTGATGTTGATGATGATGGTGTCCCGAGAATGATGATGATGATGATGGTGCTGAGAATGACGGTGACGGTGATGATGGTGTCCCGATGATGGCAATGATGGTGTTGCTGATGATGATGGTGTCCCGATGATGATGAGGTTGATGATGTTGTTCATGCTGATGATGATGAGATGATGGTGATGCTCATGGTGGTCCTCCGATGATGATGATGATGGTGTCCCGATACTGATGATGCTGATTATGATGATGGTGACGATGACGGTGGCCCGATGATGACGGTGATGATGATGGTGATGATGATGATGTTGATGCTGATGGTAATGAGGTGATGATGATGATACTGGTGTCCCGATGATGATGATGATGATGATGATGATGATGATGATGATGATGTGATGATGATGACGATGATGATGATGATGACATTGATGACGATGATGTTGATGACGATGATGACGTTGATTGTGAGATCGATTGTGATATCGATAGTGAGATCGATAGTGAGACCGATCGTGAGATCGATTGTGAGATCCATAGTGAGATCGATTGTGAGATCGATTGTGAGATCGACGATAGTCAGATCGATTGTGAGATCGATCGAATGAAATAGATCGAGTGAGATCGATTGTGAGATCGATCGAGTGAGATCGATCGAGCGAGACCGATAGTGAGATCGATAGTGAGATCGATAGTGAGACCGATCGAGTGAGACGTTGGTTCCTCCCCCCCCGAACCTCCTCATCACCCGAAGGGTGGTCGTATAGGTAGACCGTAAAACATGATCAAATGTTTCTTAATACACATGTGTTTAAAAAAGTCCCCAGAACATGTTTCATTATTTTGTCATGTTCCTCCTGTAGAGGAACGTGCCCGACTCACACGTACCCAGCGCGACCGGAGACAGGGCGAAAACGGGGCAGGCACACCGCGGGCTGCGCCCCGGCCCCCGGCGGCAGCACCGAGCGGAGCCGCCTGGACCGCCGGCGGCTCCATCGGAGGCCTCGTGGATGTGGCCCGAGCACGGCAGGTCTGAGAAGGCGAAAACCCGCCCCCTTCCCCAGTCCCGACGCCCACCTCCGAGCCTGGAATTCAGGGGGTCGGGACTGCGGGTGGCGGTGGGCTTTCTCCGCTCCTGGAGCCCGAAACAAAAAACACCCCCACCCCCAGTCCCGACCCCATGGATCGCGGGTTCGGAGATGAGGTCGGGACTGGGGGTGGGGGTGGGTTTTCGCCTTCTCAAGCTTTGCGTCGTGTCGACCCCAGCGTTGGTTCCCGACACCGCGGGGATCGTTCAAACTCGAACGATCGGCCCTGTCAAGAAGGCCAGGTCGTTCCAAGGATGGGCCGATTCTGGGCCACAGGCGGCGTTCAACCTTAAACGCCCGCGCTGGGGCCGCCGCCGGTCGACACGACGCGAACCTGCCGTAGATGGGGTCGGAGGATCGCGCCGCATCGGCAATGCATCGGCGACGTCGGCGATGCGTCGGCGACGCCGGCGTGGAGAAAATAGGGCTCCGCATCGAGCCGAATCGCCGATGCATCGTCGATGCGGCGCGATCCTCCGACCCCGTCTACTCCGACCCCATCTATGAGGCCTAGATCCATGGAGTCACCAGACCCGCGGACCAGTCGGGCCGGATCCGTGGATCGCCAGCGGCTCCATGGATCGCCAGCGGCTGTAATCTACAGATCAGTCGGGGCGGATCCATGGAGTCACCACACCCACGCGTCAGTCGGGGATCTGCTGACCCGGGTCAAGCCAAGCCCGGGTTGGTCGGGCCTCGCAGGATCCTGCAAAACCATGCAGGATCCTGCAGGATCCTGCACCCAAGCCTGGATCAGTGCGCCCCTGGCCCTGAAGGATCCTGCGAGATCTGGCGCTCTGGCCGACCCCCGTTTGCATTGACACCCGTCTCTTGAGCCCGGAGTCTGATCTGCTTGGGCGACGCCGGTGCCAGCCTCAAAGCACTACTCCCATGGCCGCGCAAGGTTCTAGAGAGACGTGGTCTCGGCCAGGCGACAGCCGGTTGCATAGTCACTGTGCGCGGGACGGCAACGGTCCCCTGGTGCCCACCGGCCAGGAACCATACATGCGGCCGCTACCTCCGCGGCTGCTGTCATTATAGTGTTCCTATGCATGACGCCTGCGGCTTGCACCGCTCACCGCAGATCAACGAGAAAACCCTGGTGAACGACGGTCATGATCCATCTGGCGCGGATTGCGAGGCTTCGACTTGCACCATTCAGTCTAGGAACCCTGAATATTTGCTCAAATGACCGCTCCACGAGGCGCCCTACGATCTCTCGGCGACCTCAGAGTTTGCCGAGCCCTCCGAAGACCCTGATGACGGGAAGGGGTTCTGCAGACCCTGGGAAGTCTGCTGAAGGCTGCCCGCTCTGATCTGATCCCCGCAGCTTCTTCTCTGCACCTCCCTCCCCCCCTCGCCCCCCCCCTCCTGACCCGTCGCCAGCCCCTCCCTGCCACAACTCCCGTGCATGGCCCAGCCCAGCGGTGACAGAGCTCCGTCGACCAGGAAACCTTTACCCTGAGATCCGACGTAGCAAGAGAAATGCAACATCGTAAAACATCACGCCTGGAGCCCTAAACCCAATATATCTGCGTCATGTTTTAACCTGGGTCCTGGGGCCCGAGAGAAGGCGGGAGCGCCCTGCTCGAAAAAAATTAGGCGCCAGGATCTCAGGGTAACGCGCCAGGGGGCTCACCCGTCGTTGGCGAAGCCAGCCTCACGAGCTCGTAGGGCACGCCCGCAGGTGGTGGCTGCTGCCTCACCTGCGGCACGGCACGGTACGGGGAAGGGGGCGAGGGGGCGAAGGGGCGAGTGGTCCACTTGAAGCCGCTGACATACAGAAGAGGCCAGTCCACAAAAAATTCCAGAAGAAACCAAACCCTGAGACCCCAGGGAGGCCTTCCATCGCAAAACCATCGACACCCAAGAAACCCAGGGCAACCTGCAAGCAAGCAGGGTGCTTCTTGGCATGGGTCTCCGCTAGACACGCAGTGGCAGCGAACTCAGGGAGCGCCACAGCCCCAGGCGGCGGACCACGGAGGACGACAATCGCGCCGGACAGTGCTCCCGCCGCGAGCAGCAATCGGGGAGACGCAAGGACTGGGTTATGGGGGACTCGGGTTGGCCCGACGGGGTCATCATGAAAAGGACGAGACCCCATCTGAAACTTGACGCGATCGCCCGCTGCAGACGTCCCACGGAAACTGGACCGTCAGAATCCAGGCCGCCCTCGTCCAAAAACTCATCCGAAGACTTACAGTCGAAATCCAGAGTACGCACGGGCGGTAAGGACGCAGGGGCCTTGGACGCCGAACTTGGCTTTTTCTGGGCGTCGGACTGCCAACGCCCTGAAGGGATGGCCAGTGAAAACAGCGGAGGACGGGCCGCAGAGGCAAGGACGCGAAGGTACCCCCTAAGGACAGCCGTGCGTCCTTACAGCAAACCCGAGTTCCAGCGCACTCGAGTCTTGCGTCGAGAACGACGAGGAGGAGGAGCAGAGGAGGAGGAGGAGGAGGAAGAGGAGGAGGAGGAGGAGAGAAAGGAAAGGAGGAGGACGAGGAGGAGGAGGAGGAGGAGGAGGAGAGGAGGAAGAGGAGGAGAAGGAGGAGGAGGAGGAAGAGGAGGAGAAGGAGGAACACAGTCCCGACCAACGTGTATATACCTACGCTGGCTGCGCGCCGCTTCTTGCGCGCATGTTTCGCAAGAGGATCCGAGGTCCTCCTCGAAGGCCCCCGACGAGGAAAACGCACACGTCCGAGCGCTGCCAAGCACTGACACCAAATGCCGAACTGGCGAGCACGCGGAGGCCGGCCGCCAACCGTCCAAGAGAGCCCCGCCGCCCGATCGGCGCGCAGCAGCAAAAAGCCTGCCAGGCTGACACACCACGAGCTGGGCGCACTGCGAGCCCTAGGCGTCGCTCAGTGGGAGGGGGGGATACACTACGGGGCCTCCCAGAATGTCGGCGTGGAGAAAATCGGGCCACACATCGAGCCGCATCGCCAATGCCGATGCGGCGCGATCCTACGACCCCATCTGCTAGGGCCCCATCTGGGAGGCCTACATGAACGAGGGGGCGGTGAAATGATGGTGCACGCCTCGGGCCCGAGGGGCCCCCTCTTGGGCCCCAGGAGGGGCCCCAGAAGGCCCCTCTTCTGCAGCCCTCGCTGCCCCCCCCCCCCCCATGTGTCGCCTCCCCATGTCGCGACGCCCAAGAGTCTCGGCAATGACAATTCTGCTGGCGAAGCTCTCGGCGACAAAACGCCAATCAAAAAATAAACCGAACGATCTCAGCCAAAAACGAATGGCACAGCGCCCCATGTCGCGACGCCCAAGAGCCTCGACGGCCGCCCGTCCCCGGGCAGGGCGCGGCTCGCGCGCCGCCCGCATCTGCGCAGAGCTCGGGCGGCCGAGGACGCCGAGGGGGGCCCCCCGACTCGGAGCGGACGGGGGCGCCGGGCGCGGGGCCGGGCATGACCAGCGGACGGGGCTGGGCCGACCAGCTGGGACGACTGGCTGTGACAGGCGTCGTCGGGCTCTCGAGGGGGCCAAACATGGGGGCCCCAGTCCTGGGACATCCCGGGGCTTCCCCCCTCGCCCCCTTGGGGTGATCCCAGGGCTTCCCCATGCCTTCTGAGCGGCCAGACGTTTCAGGCGGAACTCGGGGGTAGGGGGGAAGAGAATCGCAAGGGCTCCCAACTTCGCGCTTCGCGCTGCACGAAGCGCGAAGTGCGAATAACTTCGCGCTCTCGTCTCGTGCCGCCTCCCAGGGGAGAAGAGAAGTACGAGGAGGAATCGGAGCCGAATCGCGAAGCGCGAATAACTTTTCGCCCTCGAGGGCGCCCTTGAGAATCGCCTGCGCTGTGGCGACAACGAGGCCCGCGTGGCCAGAAGAAGAAGAAGAAGAAGCGCGCCGCAGATATCGGCTCTCGGAGCCCCGCGCGGATACGGCGGAAGCCAGTCCACAGGAAACCTTCCACAAGAAACTCAACCTTGAGATTAGGGGGAGTTTGGATGAGACATAAAAAGAAAACATAAGCAAACAAACATAGTCAAACAATAATAGAAAAACGGCGTCCCCTGTAGAGGGACAGGCCCGACTTAACCCCGAGACCCCGATTGTTGCTTGTGTGAGGCGACGTCGCGCCTTCCGTCGCAAAGCCGTCGAAGCCCCAGAAACCGCGGGCACACTGGAGGCGTGCAGGGTGTTTCGTGGCATGGGTCTCCGCTGCAGTGGACGGTGGCGCACGAATCACGTGCCAGAGGCGCAGCAGCAAGGACCAAAAGGGAGAAAGGAACCACAAGCAAACCAAGAGAGGGAGAGAGGCAGCAGGGCCAAGCTGGGAGAAGAGCGGAGGCGGAGGGACTGGCGCGAACCAGAGGGAACACACATACGCACGCTCAAACACGAGATCCCGATGCTGACCGGCTGCCTCAGAGGGACGCGCGAGATCAGCAGAGGAAGCGACGCTCGCGAATGGCCTGCCCCATGGCCTTGCCGCTCTGTGGGGCCAGTCTCGGCGAGGCGTCTGCGGGGCAGCCCCTGCCTCCCGAAGCACTTGGGGGGGACGCCAGTCAGCCGAAAGCCCCGCCGCCGGTGCGCAGAGGAAGCTCGCCAGGCGCACACCACGAGTTGGCCGTGCTGCGCGCCTCAGGCGTCGCCTAGCACGGGGGGGAGCAGCGGTAGATGGGGGGGGGGGGCCCCACAGGCCCCCTTTGGGACCCCCTTTGGGACCCTAAAGGGCTCCTGCAGGGGGCCTTTAGGGCCCCGTTTCCGCAGCCCTCGCGAAGGAGCAACGGGAAGGAGGTGGAGGCGAGCAGGCAGGGCTGCAGGCAGGCAGGCGGGCGAGGGCACCCCAGTGCCGACTCTGTCCGCCAGCCGGCTTGTCTGCTTGCCTGCTCCTGCGCCGAGGGTAGGTGTGAAATCCTCGTCGACCGTGGAACGAAAACCTAGGTTCATTTATCTTCAGATGATACCCTATGGATTATTATCCTGGGTTCATAATGTTCCAGGCGAGACATTATGAACCCTGGTCAATAATCCCAGAACGTTATAAACCCAGGTTCATATCTTTTTGAGGTGCATCCTGCCTGCGCCGCGCCCCCACCCCTGCAACTACTGGGAGTTTCTCGTCGGAAGGACTAAAGAAAATGAATCCCCGTTGGGGGGCTGCTGCGTCGGATTAGGCCGCGGATTGACAAAGATCGAACCAGATCTAGCAGGATTAAGCCAGATGAAACGAGATGAAGCCGGATGTCGGACCAGGGCAAAGTCAGAAATTGGCATCCCAGGAGTTGCATCCGAATGTCCCCCTCCTTCCTTCGAGCACCCCCTCCATCCCTGAAGCCGCCCAGGGATCATATTCGCGGACCCCTCACAAAATACGCGGGGATGCCTACAAAGGGGGGGCCAGAGGAGAGAGGTCTCGTGATCGGATGTACAGACATATCATGGTCGCCACCTCGGTCTGGACAAGGAGGGAGAGGAACCAAGTTGGACCTATGTATGTGTATGAATCTGGGTAACCAGACCACAACAGCAAAATGCATGACCCCAGCCCGTCCTGGCCTGAGGCTGAGGGCCTGCAACAACTGCAAGAGGTGGCGATGCGCTGTCGCGTCCTGGCAGCGGCAGGGCACGGGAAAATTTGGTCGACGATGCTCACTGCTACCATATGCCTCCCCACTACACTTACGACTGGATCTCAATCGGGCATGTCCTCCTACAAGAGAAGCTTGAAAGACAAACGGAAAATAATCAACATAACCCCAGGAAGCATTTAAGAACCCCCCCGGCGATATCTTAGCACCGCATTTTTATTCGATATTCCGAGGGGCCGAAATAACCGCACGATAGGTTTAGCACCCGGACACACAACAAATTCGCGGAGGCCTGGCCCCTGGGCTACAATCGAAATTCGAAATTCAAATCTGCGTGGCTCTCATGAAAGACTCAGGATGTCGCTTGCTGCTTGGAAAATTCATGCAATGATAATAGTATTAATATTCGCAAGCATATGTGATGACTCCTAACGATTTTGCATCCTCAGGAGGAGGAGGAGGAGGATGAGGAGGAGGAGGAGGAGGGCTCCCGGTGCCAGGTAACGCTTCCAGGGTGCTGAAGGGTTATCGATTTGCCGGAAGGGGGGGGGGGGGGTTCTTAAATGCTTCCTGGGGTTATTCTCACACATAATCAAACATAGGAAAATATCGTCCCCCGACACGTTTCACTATTTTTGAACATTCCTCCTGTAGAGGGACAGGCCCGACTTAAGACTGCAAGATCCTCGAGCCCTTTGAAGCTGCCGATGCACATAAGGGATCGTGCACGCATTCCACGGCACTCCTGCACGCGGCACCACAGCATGTTCAGACCAGAACCGATTCGAATCCCGTGGGGCCATTGTTGGCGGCGCGCATAGGAGGGTAGGGAAAGGCAAAAAGGCTTCGCAGAAGGAGGCTGCTTCTTAGAAGGTGCCGGCCTTACATTTACAGACAAGGCCCGCGCCTTCCAAGAAGCAGGGGTGTTTCTAAAGAAGCCCCCGACACCTCCCTTTGCGCGTGGCCGACATTCACTTTCCCTGCCACCGTGCGTCAATCAAAGTCCGCAACTGGCTTCAGTGAGTGATCATCATGTGCGACCATGGACCATGGCGTGGCTGCAGGGCGCGCGATTTGCAGGCCCGTGGTCACTAGCACGCCCAAGCAGAAGGATGTCGATGCGGACTGGTCGCGGATCAATTGTCCCGGCGACCCCCTGGTGCACCCAATGACACTCCTCTGGCGTACGCGTATAGAAAATGCACACTCTACGGTAGCAGCGATGATCAGACCATTCTGGCTTGAACACTTGCGATTATCTACGAGACTGGATGTCGTTAGAAATGCCGGGCGTAGTGCATGTGCTAATTTCCGTGGCAACTCTGACGAGGCAAATATCACAATACATCGGAAGTATGCACCAGGGTAGTCTGATGGGCCACACAGCGGAAATTAGCTGGCACATTAGATCATGCAATATGAGCATGCGGCAGGCGTGCCCTAGCCGTGGCAGTACCAGTCGTAAGTGCCAGAACTGGAAAGCGGATGTGTAAAAAATGCATGACCGAAGGCGTCACCGCATGAAGGAAGCCAAGACCATCGAGCTGTGACACATGAAGGGCCCTACGATGGCAAGATGAAGCACTGCTTCATCACCAAGTGGAAAGCCAAGGCGCACGCGAAATTATCTCGAGTGGCACTTGGAGACGGCCGGGGGTCTGAACTGGACGGGGCACCCCGCATCAAGAGGAGGGTGGGGGAAGGGCGGGGCCATGCCCATTCGAAATATATCTCTGGACCCCTGCCGGGGTCCATCTACTACAAGTGTTCACACCACATTCGGTTTTGAAAGTCCCCAGGCCCGAAAACGGCCCCAGGACCCCGACAACGGCAAAACACCGCTCGAACCCAGAACTTCACACTTCGCCCCCCTCCCTGCTGGCCAGGGCCAAACCCCCAGACTGCTTTTACGCGACGACCCTTTCGGAGGCACCCCTCAGGGCTGAGAACCGCCTTGGGGCACCCAAGTCTAGGGTAACCGGAGAAAAAGGCCTAGGCACTAGGCACTAGGGCACCCAAGCCTAAGGTAGTTCTCAAGTTACCCTAGGCACTAGGGTAACCTGAGAAAGCCCTACCCGAATGTCACTAAAAGGTAGGTGTAAGGTACGTCTAAGGACAGACCGTTGCGGTAGGCCCAGGGGCAGGCCTCTGAGGTATGACTTCGGGGCCGAATCCTCCCCCATGCGATTACAAAAAAATAGGTTCTGATTCGTGGGAGGCGGAGCGCGTCGGTCGTTTGTTTGCTGGTGGTGTCGGCGCGGTATACCCGCTGCGATGTTCCTCGAGGCTGCCTCCTCTCCCTCTCTCGCTCTCTGTTTTTCTGTCTCTCTCTGTCCCTATCTCTCTCTTTCTCTCTTTATCTCTCTTTCTCTTTTTTTTTTCTCTCTCTCTCTCTCTCTATCTCTTTCATGTTCTCTTGTATCTCTCTCTCTCTTGTTTGTTCTCTCTCTCATTTTCTCTATTTATCTCTCTCTCTGTCTCTCTTTCCCTGCCTCTCTCTCTCTCTCTTTCTGACCATCTCTCGCTCTCTCTCTGTCTCTCTGTCTCTCTGTCTCTGTCTCTCTCTCTCTCTCTCGTTGTGTATCTCTCTCTCTCTCTATATATACAGATCCCTATATTTATGCCGCTCTCTCTGTCTATATCTCTCTCGCTATCTCTATATATACTTATATGCATATATATACATATATGCATATACATATATATGTCGTTCTCTCCCCCCCTCTCTCTCTCTCTCTCTCTCTCTTTCTTTACATCCGCCGTCCTCAGCATAGTTCCCAGCCTAAGCCTAGCCCAAGCCTCAGCCGAGCCTAAGCCTCAGCCTAGCCTAGCTTAAGCCCCCAGTCAACATTTAGCCCCAACCTAGCCTGAGCCTGAGCCTAAGCCTCAGCCTAGCCTCAGCCTCAGCCTAGACTCAACCGCTGCCTCAACCTAGCCTCAGCCCCGGCCTCAGCCTAAGCCGAAGCCTCAGCCTCAACCTCAGCCTAGCCCAAGCGCCAGCTAATTCAATTTCGGCGTCAGCCCCAGCTCAACGTAAGGCTCAGCCGCAGCCTCAGCCCAAGCCTGAGACGCAGCCCCAAGAATGCGACTACAACGCTAGGGAACTACTACTATCACAGTGCTACAACAGCAATGCTACGAACGCAATAGAGTGCGACTACACGCACAACATTACTACTGCGACTACAGTACGACCGTACTATAACGCGGCTACACTGCTAAAGTATTGGCATGCTGCACTGGTCATCCAAACCGCCGCTACAGCGTTGTCACTACTACTGCACCAGGTCGCTACTACGGCTTCAGTAGAACGCGGCTAACACAGCAATGCTACGGCACTACAGTACCAGGGCGCGGCGACCGTGCCTGAATGCTCCAATGGCAGAGCTCCACCACTACTACAGCCAGTATCCGAGCACTACTCGCACAGCGCTAAAGAGCCACCACTGCCGCGTCACTGCCCCAGCGCTGCACTACGACTTGTACAGCGGCACCACTACAGCACTACAACACTAGAGCGCTACAACCGCGCTGCGCTAACACGGCACTGGGGCGCTCCCACGATGGCGCCGCGGTACACTCGCTGCGGGCGACCGTAGAGCGCCGCTCACACAAATACCGAACGAGAGTCCTGCTTCTACAGCGCCACTACTACAACGCAACACTACTCCACAACAGTACAGCACTACACCTGCAGCCCTGCCACTAAACCGCTGCACTTCGAGACACTGCAACTGCGCCCGACTACGACAGCAGCACTACAGCGCGACTGCAAGAGCTAGTGCTGGAGCTTGCTCTATTCTGCTAGACCTGCGCACGACCACTGCAACTGCACGACTACTACAGCGCTGCCACTTCATTCGTGCAATACTATAATTGGCTCAAAACATATCAAAATACCACCAGCACAATGGTATGGCGCCATTACTACAGCGCTGCTGCCGCAGCTCTGTTCTAGGACGACTACAGCGTCACACCCACAAGAACGCAGTCTGTACCGCAATAACAACGCTACGATACGACGGCATTCGAATTCCCCAATCGCGGTCCAATAGTACACTCGCCGCAAGCAAACGTAGAGCAACGCCCACACGAATACTGTAATAGAACACTGCTTCTACAGCGCCACTGCCACAGCGGTGCAGCACTACTCCACCATAACACAGCGCCCTTCCTACGGCGCGACCACTCGACCACTGCAGTTCGAGGGCGCCACTACTGCGCTCGAGTACTGCGGTGGTGGGCTACTTCCACTGCAGCGCGGCACCGCGACTACCAAAGCAAGCGCTAGATAATGACCTTACCGGGGGGACTGATCACTATAACTTTTACTCCTACAGCTACAATTGCAGGATTACCGCAGCGCTGCCACTTCAGTAACGCAATATCACCACTGGCTCAACACGGTACGAGAAAACCACTAGAACCATACCAGAGTACCACTACTGGATCACGACTGCTACAAGACTGTCCTACGACTAGCACAGCGCCACCACTACAGCACTACAGTATTATAAAGCTACAGCAGTGTTGCGAGTACGCGCGGCAGCCTCAGAGGCCACGGCATAAGCTTAGCGGCCCCCGCCCAGAAGAGTGGATCGGGAGCGAGAGCAGCATCTTCAGCGGCAGCACCGCCGACAGCGCGTCGAATCTCCTCCATGACGCCTGGGTCCACCTGGGCCATCCAAGCCTCCATTTCGTCCGCCGTGCTTGCGCGAGGCAACCTGAAGAGAGCCCCGCGCTGACCGCGGAATCGTTGCTCCACCACCTAAACCAGCTGGTCAACCTGCACGTGCGGTCCCCTTCCGCCATGGCGGCCGTCCGGGCTGTTGGCTGCCCCCCATCGGCACTCTGGATTGGCGCAGTCCCTCACCATAGTTGTGCCCAGTACTGCTGGGCGCCCAAAAAAATTGCCGAAACGGCTATGGGAAGCGGAGGGTGATGTGGAATACTTGGGCTCGCACACTCCCTCTTGCTTATTTCTATATGTAAACAAAGACGCAAAACCGCAGAGGATGGCA